CGATTAATCGAAAAAATAATCGGCCGATTCATCGATTTTTAAAATAATCGTTAGTTGCAGCCCTAGCTGCTGCTAAAAGTTTTCCTTATTTTTCAAACCGATGCTAAAGTATAACTTCACATGTTGCTCCACATTCCTCATTTTAGGGAAGAAAGTGCTTCTAATAAGAGTTGTCATAAAATACAACTTTATTGTTGTAATTTTATGACTATAGTTGTTTTGAATTTTTTTTGAATATTACGACTTTATTCTTTTATTATTTATTATTATTATTCTGGTAATGTTACGACTTTATTCTTGTAATTTTATAACTTTATTCTCCTCATATTACGACTTTATTCTAGTAATGTTATGACTATTCTCGTAATTTTATGACTTTATTCTTGAAATGTTGTGACTTTATTATCGAAATAGAAAAAATATTTCTAGCCTGGCCCTTATACTCCTTCATAGAAATAATCCAATATAACCAACAATAAAGTATATCATTATACTAGGTCATCAAATCAATTCAGTTCAGTTTAGTCTGTTAAATAAGTTGCCTGTAGTGTCTTTAAAGGTCCAGCAGGTGTCAGTATTCTGTGAGACAGTAATAATACAGTATTCATATATTTATATATATAGTTATTGCACTGGGTGTCAGATATAGAGAAACAGGTAATTGCACAGGGTATCAAATAATAAATTTCACAAGTTATTGCCGTAGTGTTGTGGCATAGAGTCTGGCTGTTCTAGATAATGTTGCTTTAATTAATTAGCGGCATCATTTATGAATTCTGTTCGTTGCAAACAAATCCAAGCCCAGATCTCAGCTAATGGATGGAGGAAGCATCCAGGCCTCATACATACAGCTCTGCATCATCTCTGTGAGCGTCTCCACGGCGGCCTTCTCCGCGCTCTCGAAGCCGCTCTCAGTCAGCAGGGCGCTGACCACAACCTGCAGGGTGCGCCGCCGGGCCAGCTGGTAGTTCTCTGCGGGGCTGGATGCCGCTTTAGCTCCACGCTGAGAGAACACAGAGGAATACAATAATAATCATATTTTCCCCAAATATGTTTCTCTAAACAAAATAAACTTTTATTTTCCACGAACAAGCCATCTGAACCCACAACTCATAAAGATCAGAATGTTATTAGGGGTCTAAGTTACTTCTACTTGAACTGTAAACATTTTTAACACAGATATTAGCTGTGTGGCTGGAAGCTAAAGCTAACTAGCTGCTACCATTCTGCTCTGTGACCGAACAAAGCGACTCCTACCCCGCCAGAATTCAGCGACGTTCCCGGCGCTGCAGAGGAGTCCCCCATCTGCATTTACTCCAAGCTCCTTTCTTTTGCTAAATAAATGTATTAAAGTATTTCACTCCTCCATCTGGCGCTTAGCCTCCGATAGTAAACACACTCTGAATTAGTGACGTCATTTCCGTTCAATGGACCGAAAATCAAAATGTCTTTCCGTTTTACTAAATACTGCCACCTACTGGCCGTTTGCTATAAGACAACTGGAGGAGTAAATGCATAATCTGTTTTTCGACATTTCCGAGGCAATATAAGCTTTAAATCCGTAATGTACAGATGGTAATAAACAGTGAAACATGAAAAAAAAAGATTGTGGAATTTATGGTGTCTTTAAATGTTTAAAACAACGATGTGTCCCAGCCATTACAAGGAAATTGATCAAATCATAGAAGTAATTAAAAAAAACAGTTTCCTGGCTTTATTTATTAATATTTATTTTTAAAGATAAATGGTTCACAATATGTTTATGGTCCTTAAAGTAACTGAATGGGTTTGGGGTTGAAAATTTTCCTAAATAACTTATTTTTAGTGAAAACAGTTTCCCAAAGTTTAATAAACTCTTAATATGGTTTTGCTTTAAAATAGTTTGGATTATTTTATATTTTGTAAATGGGTTACTTTAAATCAGCTGACATATTTTTTGGTTAGATAAGCTAATAAAATAATTACCTTTATTGGTAATCGCAGCTGCACATTACAAAATAACGGGTTAATCTCTCCCCTGCGGAGCAGTGAGCAGCTTGCAGCCTGTGTGAAGCGTCGCTCAGGGACCTGAGCTTTTGCAGAACCGTAGAGCTCCTCATTGCATAACCTTTCCTCCATCAGTTGAAGTAATAAGCATCCCTGCTCCAAACCAACTCATCAAGCTGTTTCCATCCCTACTTTTCTGTTGGTTTGTTTTTTGTTGTTGTTTTTTGCAGGTTTGTATTTTTTGTAAAAGTTGCTGTTATTTTAAGAACAGAGAAACATGCAGATTGAACTTCTCTTTACTCTTCTAATTTACGTTAACCTGATTTCCATTGTTAAAATATTGCAGAATATTGTTTTCAATATATTAATAATTAGTTAAATACTCTCTTATTGTTATTATTTTGTTTGTTTTTTTACTTTTTATTCTATTTCTATTTGCCGTTCACTCTGTTGCCTGAAAAATCTCCACTGAGGGAAAAAAGAAAAAAAAGAGTTTTCTGTTCTATTTCATTCTATTTCTATAAAAATGATTCATAGAGGTGTATTTGCAGGAGAAAAGCAGTTTATTACAACACAAAACACTTTTCAAACATATCAAATTTCTTCCTTGTTCATCCGATAAAGTCATCTTTGACAATCTGCTGCCCAGCAGCCTGACGTTACTGTATCCTGCAGTTTCATTCTAAAAGTCCAGCGTTCTCTTTTTTGCCAGCAACAGCAGCAAGCTGCATTTTTAACCACATAAGAAATAAATTAACGCATAAAAGGGATTCGTCTCCACTGCCATCGACAACCCGGTCTGCAGTGTTTTATTTCAGGATCGTCTCCCTAGGATGCGTGTAAACGGTTGGCTAAGCTCCTCTGTGAACCGGTCCCTGGATGTTTGACCTTCGCTTCAGACAGTATGGCCCTGATCACCTCCTCAGCTTCCGTACAAATAGACGAGTTCCTTGTCTTCTTCTCAAATAAGAGTTCTGCTAGTTCTTCCTCTATGGTCCGATCCTTCAAGAAGGGCAGGAGAATCATCTCCACCATGCCGCCAACCATTCCAAGGATAGCCAGAGTGGAGCCGAGCATGTAGATCTTTAACATGCTGCTAGTGGGCCTCTGTCTAAGCATGTCCTTGGCGAAAGGAATGATGTCATTGATGTTTTCCATCTCTGAATATTTATTTTCCTGGAAGCAAAACAAACAGAAAAGAAAAACACAAGAAAAATGTTTAAGGAGCTGTTTTATCTGAGAAACTAACAGTTTAAATTTTCAGCATGTTTTAGAAAAGACAAGAGCAGAGACTCACCTTGAAGCACGTCTTAACTTTTCAGTTCGGCTTTTGATGGTGGAAAGGCGAAAGCAAGTCCTGCAATTTAAGCATGAGAAGAGTCGGGTCCACTCCCTCAGACCTCATGCATATTCATTTTTTTTTTTCTCCAGAGATTCAAAGTTGTTTGTGTCAAAGGGCATAGAAATGTAGAGCAAGAAGTAAAACACTCCTTGTACGTGAGGCTGTGCATGTGACATCACATCTGCTCCAAAGCAGATCCAGTAAACAGCTCAGTGTGTAGACCGTCTCTGACAATGGGGGCTTTGGTAGATCCATCAATACTGATTACAAACTGAACAACATGTTTGGTTGATCTGCATTGGCTGAGCTGTAACTATGCACATGGTGTTCCTCAGGAGATTTGGAAAAGTGTCCAATCGAAGTATTAGCAGCTGAGAAAAGTCAGTCCCATGTATTGACTGACAGAGATTGCTTGGTTATACAAGGAATACCCCTTATTGAACACGGCCAGATAAGGTTCAACACAATCATGCAGTACTTTGCTGCTGTGGCTCTGGCACTACTGCAAACTGATTGCTGAGTGGACAAAGCAAGAGGCTGCGCCGTGTTCGTGTGTAACTGCATGCGTGTGGCCGATCTTTGCCTCAAACTCACCGCCCTTCGACCCAGATCACGCTGCACGAGACAGGCGGGTGAAGTCAGGCAAGTGAGTTGGGAAATGTGTCTGATCTTTGTCACAGAGGAACATGTGTCATGCACACTCAGTGAAACAGATTGCACTTCAGAGCACACAGTAGGCGCTGATTCAACATACGCAAACCGAACGATGCACGCTTCACACAGTAGCTTTTAGTCCAGTTGGAGCTTAAGTGGATCTGAAAAGGCTAATTTCTGTATTTCAGTACTTCAGACAGAAAATATACGATTCATTTAAACTTTTACTCTTCTGGGAGCTGTCTGGCTCAGTGGTCGAATAGAATAGAATAGAATAGAATAGAATAGAATAGAATAGAATAGAATAGAATAGAATAGAATAGAATAGAAAATCCCTTTTTTGTCCCACAATGGGGCAATTCTGGTGTTACAGCAGCAAAAAATGGTCACACTTCAAAAAATTTAAATCTTAATAAGTAATTCTTTCTTAAAATAAGTGCATTTTTTTCTTGAATTGAGAAGGTAAGTGAGACACTTTGCCAATGGAATAATTTACATTTAAAATAAGAAAAAAACAATTGCATTGTCTTATTTCAAGTGAATTTTATCTAATTGTCTTATTTTAGGAGTAAAAATACTAATTCCATTGGCAAATTCTCTTACTTACCTACTCAAATTAAAGGTAAATACACTTAATTTAAGAAATCTTTGCTTATTTCTAGATCGTTTTTGCAGTGCACACAAGTATGGACCTTAGAAAAATGTATAAGAATAACATAATAGTGAAAAGTTAAAAAATAAACAATAAAATACTGTACTGTAAAGTGTTTTAACAATATCAATACTGTGCACCTGGAGAATAAATAACCTATATCCAGCTATGGACATTTTTACAGTTACAGTAATAACATCAGAGATGTGCAAAATGTCAGCAGCATGTTATTTAACTGACTGAGGTAGAAACTGAGTAAAATCAGCCTGAATGGAACAACTTGTTGAGGTTCTTGGGAACAGTGGTGGTTCTAGAGTCTTAGAGCTGCTGGGAGGAAGGATCTGTGATAACGCTCCCTGGTGCATTTAAGGTGCAGCAGTCTGTCACTGAAGGAGCTGTCCAGTTCAGCACCAGCTTCATGAATGGGGTGGGATAGACGTCGCTTTGTGTAATTAAGTTTTTGTCTTTGATGCAGCTTTAAGGTTTGATTCCTAAGTCAAAACTTTTCCTCTACATACAAACATATTAAAGTTAGAATACAGGTGGGATCTTTTGTTAGACTGAAAGCACCTGTTGAAAGATACAAGTCCGTGTTATAATTGTTTGTTTACTCGTTTCCAGAAATAAAACATAAAAAACATGAATCTGTGTGTAATTGATCTAAGCATGGTGGTTCATTCAGTTTGGTCAGTTACATGTGGAATTCCCCAAGAGTCCATCTTAGGGCCCCTGATATTTAATATAAGATATGATTTTTTCCAATGCGACCCAGGCCACTTGGCTATGTGGTCCTGAATCCAATACGTAATGCGACCTGTGTGTGAATGGCAAGGTCAAATTCATACGAACTGGACGGCATTACAACAAAGGTCACTATTCTACGGTGGCCCTGAAGCGCAAACTGCAACTACAAATCTAAAAGCGCAACTACATTAAGGAAATCGCAACTACATAAAGCAATCATTCCCCCCCCACAACCCAACCTCAACCCCCCGGCCGGTTCCCCCCCCCCCGGCCGGTCCGTGAAAATATTGTTGGACATATAGCGGTCCGTGGTGCAAAAAAGGCTGGGGACCGCTGCTCTAAGGCACATAAGTTGTGTGAATACAGTTCACACAGAAGACCACATACAAGTCATATATATCTGGAAATGTGAACAACCACGCAAAATAATTGGATTTAAAAAAAAAATCATAACTGAGCATTAAAGGAATAGTACACCCAAAACATGATTAGCCTTCATTTTCTACTCACCCCCATGCTGAACAACACTCTGGAGTACTTTTTTGATATCTCAAATGCATCTGGAGATCTGGGAGGCTTCTTGCTGTCTGCTGACATTCAAATAATGGAGGTCTATGGTGACCGAGGCAGAAAGGTCCATAAAAGTCCACAAAAAACGTGTCAATATTCCTCCATACTGCTCGTCCAATGTATTCCAAGTGTCCTGAGTGGGTAGCATCCAGAATTTACTCGAAATGAAGTCATTTAGAATGTTTTTAGAGCATAAACAGTAGTGTATAGGATTTCCTGAAAGCGTGTTCACGAGTCTACGGAAACCGCGGCAGACCAAACCAGATGAAAGTGCGCATTCAGCGTCTGCTCTGCCGATAATGCAAGTGTAGAAGAAGAAATGTGCTGTTTACCTGTGCAAAGAAAGAAACAACAAAAGAAAAATGTCTGAGGACTTCAGTGTTGAGGAAGAGCATGAGTTCTTTGCCGAGCTGAATGCGCACTTTCATCTGGTTTGGTCTGCCGCGGTCTCCGTAGACTCGTGAACGCGCTTTTAGGAAATCCTATACACTACTGTTTATGCTCTAAAAACATTCTAAATGACTTCGTTTCGAGTAAATTCTGGATGCTACCCACTCAGGACACTTGGAATACATTGGACGAGCAGTATGGAGGAATATTGACACGTTTTTTGTGGACTTTTATGGACCTTTCTGCCTCGGGCGCCATAGACCTCCATTATTTGAATGTCAGCAGACAGCAAGAAGCCTCCCAGATCTCCAGATGCATTAGAGATATCAAAAAAGTACTCCAGAGTGTTGTTCAGCATGGGGGTGAGTAGAAAATGAAGGCTAATCATGTTTTGGGTGTACTATTCCTTTAATGCCTGCAGTTTGAAGGTACCCTAAGTCTGGGTGTAGTGATGGACTCAAACCTGAACCTTTAGAGGCTCATAAAGACAAGAAAAAAGTTGATCTTCTATCAACTAAAGAACATCTCCAGAATTAAAGGACTAATGTCTGACCTTGATAAACTAATTCCTGCTTCTTTCATCTTTAGTAGAATTGATCACTGCAGCGATGTCTCCACAGGTCTGCCTAGAAAGTGGATAAGAGCTGCAGCTGATCCGGAATGCTGCTGCCTGCATCCTCACTAGAACTAAGAAAGTGAAGAACATCAGCCCAGGTGTGAAGCGGTTCCACTGGCTCTCTGTAGCTCAGAGAATAGACTTTAAAATCATCCATGGTTAATCTATAAATCACTAAATGGCTAATACACTGGAGAAACAATCTAGAAATAAGTAAAAATGTCTTAAATTAATGTATTTACCCTTAATATCAGTAGGTAAATGAGATAGCTTGCCAAAGCACTGAGTGTTTTTACTCTTATAATAAGATAATTATATAATATGTACTTGAAATAAGACAATGTAATTGTGTTTTCTTGTTTTAAGTGTAAATTGTAAAATGTTTCTTTTACCTCCTCAATCCGAGAACAAATGCACTTATTTTAAGAAAAAATAACTTCTCTAGATTTAGATTTTTTTCCGGTGCACATTACAGACTTCATGTCAGAGGATCAACAGCCAGACCTCTCAGGTCTACTGGATCAGATCTTCTCTGCAGAAACAGAACCAAATATGGAGAAGAAACTTTCAGTTCTTCTGTGTCACTAATCTGGAATAAACTCCCAGAAAAATGCAATGGAGCTGAAGCCTCAGTTGCTTTAAATCAAGATCAAAAGCATATTTCTTTAGAACAGCCTTTGACTGAGCTATCTAAACATCACTCATTTAAGTTTGGACTCCAGCTTCATTTTATTATCAATCATTTTCTTCTTTTTTTTATTATTTTGCATCGTAATGTGTTCTTATTATGTACGGTACTTTGAATCATCTTGTTATATAAATAAACTTGTCTTGGCTCTAAACATTAAAAACCCTTACATTAAAAACGGGGGTCCTCCACATTAGGAAAAGACTTTGACCTCTGAAAAGCTTGTCGGTCCTCACAAGGTTAGTAAATATACCAAAAAGGAGCTAAAGAGGTAACATGAAACTGTACAGAGATAATGCATCTTTTGAAGGGCTGTGGAAATGGCTGCATTAGTGTAGCATGTCTCATGCAACAGTGTAAATAAAAGCTAATTCTGTGTTCAAAGTTGTCATATTGATTGACAATATCAACATACTGGAAAGAAAATACGAAAACAACTTTTTAAAAGATAAGGATAGAGAACAAAAAAATTGCCGTGAAAGAAAATCCAATCTGTGTCTTTTCAGGAGTAAAGAGACAAAAACAGACACATGAAGTCATTTAAGCTTTTTGAATAAAGGTACAAATAGTT